AATGTCCCTGAGCTGTAAATAGGGAAGTTGTTATGTTGGCGAGTATCTTGTTGTGTATGTTTTCACTAAAATAAAAGTTTTTAAAAAAAGCCTCCTTAAAGTACAGTAGGTCCTTGATGATGTGGACTCAGTAAAGCTTTTTGGACCTCATTTGCTGATGTAGCATGACTGAAAATGAGAAGAAATAGCTCCAAACAACCACTAATAATCAGAACATGGAATGTGCAAAATATGAATCTAGTAATATTGGAAGTTGTCAAAATGAAACAGAACACATATAGATCGATATCCTAGGCATTAGTGAGATAAAATGGACTGGTATTGGCTATTTTGAATTGGACAAACATATGGTCTACTATGCTGGCAATGACAAATTGAAGAATAGTGTCACATTCATTGTCAAAAAGAACATTTCAAGATCTATCCTGAAGTGCAATGCTATTGATAGGATAATATCCATGCACCTAAAAGGCAGACTGGTTAATATGACTATTAGTCAGATTTACACACCAACCCTAATGCTGAAGATAAAGAAATTACAGATTTTTAATAATTCCTGCAATCTAAAATTGATCAAATAGGCATTCAAGATGTATTGATAATTACTGGTGATTGGAATGCAAAATTTGGAAACAAACATAGAAGGATCAGTATCTGGAAAACATGATATTGGTGATAGAAACAATGCGAGCGATTGCATGATAGAATTTTACAAGACCAATAACTTATTCATTGCAAATACTTTTTTTTTTTCAACAACATAAAGGACAGTTATACACATGAATCTCACCAGATGGAATACACAGAAATCAAAACTACTACATCAGTGGAAAGAAACAATGAAGAAGCTCAATATCATCAGTCAGAATAAAGCTGGGGCCAACTGTGAAACAGACTATCCACTGTTCATGTCCAAATTCAAGCTGAAGCTGAAGAAAATGAAAACAATTTCACAAGAGCCAAAGTATGACCCTGAGTGTAGCCCACCTGAGTTTAGAGATCATCTCAAGAATAGATCTGACACACTGAACACTAAAGTCTGAAGACCAGATGAGTTGTGGAATGACATCAAGGACAGCACACATGAAGAAAACAAAAGATCATTTAAAAAACAGGAAAGAAAGAGAAGACCAAATAGATGTCAGAAGAGACTCTGAAACTTGCTCTTGAACACAGAGGAAAGTGAATGGATCAAATGATGAAGTAAATGAGCTGAATGGAAGATTTCAAAGGGCAGCTTGAGAAGATAAAGTATTATAATGAAATGTGCAAAGACTGGAGTTAGAAAACCAAAGGGAAGAAGTTGCTCAGCTTTTCTCAAGCTGAAAGAACTGAAGGAAAATTCAAACCTTGAGTTGCAATATTGAAGGATTCTATGAGCAAAGTATTGAATGATGCACGAAGCATCAAAAGCAAATGGAGGGAGTATACAGTCACTGGACCAAAAAGAACTGGTCAACATTCAACCATTTCAGGAGGTAGTATATGATCAAGAACCAATGGTATTGAAGGAAAATGTTCAAGCTGCACTAAAGACATTGGTGAAAAACAAGGCTCCAGGAATTGACAGAATACTAATTGTGACATTTCAACAAATAGATGTAATACTGGAAGCACTCATTCATCTATCCCAAGAAATTTGGAAGATAGCTACCTGGCCAACCAACTGAAAGAGATCCATATTTGTGCCCATTCCACAGAAAGGTGATCCTGAGAACATGGAAATTATCAAACAACATCATCAGTATCACACGCAAGTAAAATTTTAAAAATGGTTGTAGCAGTACATCGACAGGGAATTGCCAGAAACCTAGTTGAATTCAGATGAGGATGTGGGACAAGGTATATTATTGCTGATATCAGATGGATCTTGGTTGAAAGCAGAGAATACCAAAAAGATGTTTACCTGTATTTTCTTGACTATGCAAAGGCACTGAGCTGAGTAGATCCTAAAAAGCTATGGATAACATTGCAAAGAATGGAAATTCCAGAACACTTAATTGTGCTCCTATGGAACCTGTACATATACACAAGAGGTTTTAAAATCAGCCAAGGTGTGTGTCAGGTTGTATCCCTTCACTATATTTATTTGATTTGTATGCTGAGTAAATGACAGTCTTGCTTGCTGATAGGAAAGTGGACTTAAAGCATTTACAACAGCCTATAATATGGATTACACCTGAACATAAAGGAAACAAAAATTCTCACAACTGGACCAATAAGGAACATCATGATAAATGGAGAAAAGATTGAAGTTGTCAGGAATTTCATTTTACTTGGATCCACAGTCAACACCCCTGGAAATCAAAAGACATATTTCATTGCACAAATCTGCTGCAAAAGACCTCTTTAAAGGGTTAAAATGCAAAGAATGAATTTGAAGATTAAGGTCCACGTGACCCAAACCATGGTCTTTTTAATTGCTTCATGTGCTTGTGAAAGCTGGACAATGGATAAAGAAGACTGAAGAAGAGTTGATGCCTTTGAATTATGGTGCTGGAGAAGAATACTGAATATACCATGGACTTCCAGAATAATGAACAAATCTGCCTTGGAAAAAATACAGCCAAAATGCTCCTTAGAAGCAAGGATGGTGAGATTTCATCTCATGCACTTTGGACATGTCATCAGGAGGGTAAGTCCCTAGAGAAAGACATCATGCTTGGTAAAGTAGAGGGTCAATGTAAAAGAGGAAGACCCTCAAGGAGATGAACTGACACAGTGGCTACAATAGTGGGCTCAACCATAGCAATAACTGTGAGGATGCCACAGGATGGGGCAATGTTTCATTCTGTTGTGCATGGTGTCACTATGCATTGGAACTGATATTCTAATGACACTTAGCTACAACAATAAGCAAAAGTAATTAAAGCAGAAGTCACATTGAATATATGTGTTATATATTTATCTTTAATGATAAAGAAGAAAGAAAAGGCCATGGCTTGTGGCACATGGATCTTAACCTTCAAAAAGCAAAATGTTATTTATCAGATGTGTTTTACTCTTAGCCATTCCTGGGCTTCCACATAAACAAGTCAGCTCCACAGACTCTGAGAATGGAAGTTTTAGATCAGCTGGCAATAACAGTCCTCTCTGCTTTGGGGTTCTTACCTCTAAGATCATTTCCTAGGCTGCTGTGTAGTGGAGGTAAATATAATAATCCACAAAGAATGATTGCACATGGTGAAATTAGCAACAGAAGTATGAATGATACTCGCCAAAGCTAATATCCACAATTCACTATTCTACTCAGAGGCAGACTACTTGCTCATCAAGCAAAGAAAGTAGTAGTGATTTTGCATCAAGCAATCAGCATTTTGGAACAGGCCAAAAACATTTTTACCAGGACATTCTTATCTAAGGGAAATGCTAACATTTTCTTATTCTGTCTTTTAGTAGGATTCCTGCTCTTGTTCTCTTGACTGTAGGTTCTAAAGTGTTTTAGAATTAGACATTAAGGAAGAATGTACAGAAACCATCTGCCTATCAGGGCCATTTTACAAAAAAGTATTTGATTCAAAGAAATAAGGAAATCAATACCATTTACAATAGCTACCAAAAAAATAAAATACTTGGGAATAAATCTTACCAGGGACACAAAAGACTTGTACAAAGAAAACTATAAAAGACTACTTCAAGAAACCATAAGAGATCTACATAAATGGAAGATCATACCATGCTTGTGTATAGGAAGACTGAACATTGTAAAAATGTCAATTCTACCCAAAGCAATGTTTTGGGTAGAAAAACAATCACTAACTTTATATGGAAAGGAAAGAGACCTTGGATAAGCAAAGCATTATCGAAGAAGAAAACAAAGTAGGAGATCTCACACTCCTGGATTTTAAAACCTACTATATAACCACAGTAGTCAAAACTGCCTGGTATTGGTAAAATGACAGACACACAGACCAATGGAATAGAATTGAGAGGCCAGAAATTGATCCATTGACCTATGGTCGGCTGATCTTTGACAAAGGGCCAAAATCCATTAAATGCAGAAGAGATTGTTTAACAAATGGTGCTGGCAAAACTGGATATCCATTTGCAGAAATATGAAATAAGATCTGTACCTCACACCATACACAAAAATGAACTCCAGATGGATCAAAGACTTAAATGTGAAAGCTAAAACTATAAAGTTCCTCAAGGAAAAGCTAGGGGCAAATTTAGGGGCCCTAATATATGGCATAAGAGCTCTGGTAGCATAGTGCCTAAGGCACTTGACT